AGTTCCTGTTTCAAAGCTTACAGATAGATGGCTAATTTGTATGTCATTGACACTTTTGGCACTTTTTTGGAGTATTTTCATAAGTTTTGTTTTTTCCTGTAAATGATTCAATAAATACCGTACCGTGACATTCATACCGAGGTATTACCGTACCGTGAAATTCTGATACCGTTACATCCCTATAAAATACCCTTTACCACATGTTAATTTTACAGTATGACAATTTTACTGTACTTTATTTACAATTTACACTTCAAAACCTTCAATCATTCATTTTCCTTCGGCGTAGTCTCAAATTCAGAGGTCGCCACAGTGGAATGAACCGCCAACTATTCCGTTTTTTTGCTGTAAATAACTGTAAAACTGTTTGATGCGCTTGATACTGGAACATTTCAAAGTCAGCTGGAGAGAAACAGCAGACTGAGAGTGAACAGGAGGAGTTCACACACACATTTTCTCACACTTGCACGCTTGCATGCATTACACACACATTACGTATGCATCAATTACACACATGAACTCGCATGCACACACATTTTCACACTCACACACACACATGCATTGCACAAACACACTACTCATCCATACTTTACAAACACACACACTCACACACGTGAGTGCACATGCATGCACGCACACACACACACATGCATTACACACATGTGAGGTTACATACACACACAAAAACACACTTAGTTTTAAAAAAGGTGGCATTGTTTTGAAAATGTGTGTAAGCAGTTGGAAAAAACTCTATTATTTATTGATCAAATGCTTTCCTTGCAGTTTTTGTCTTGTTTTAGTCCAAATATCCAGAATTTCTTACATTGAGAAGCATTTTTTGGACAAGTAAAAAATATTTAAAATTCAAAATAAAAAAGTAAAAATTATGTGGAAAAAGCCAAATCATCTTGTTTTCAATTTGACATAATATTATTTTAATTACCCATTTGGCAGATTATTTACTGTAGCTTGTTTTAACGAAAGACTTAATTTAGACTTATTCTATACAGGGTTCCCACAGTTTGGCCAACAATTTCATTTTACAGTAAAATAGCCTTACTGCAACTTATTGTATGGTAAAATACCCTTTACCACATGTTAATTTTACAGTATGACAATTTTACTGTACTTTATTTACAATTTACACTTCAAAACCTTCAATCATTCATTTTCCTTCGGCGTAGTCTCAAATTCAGAGGTCGCCACAGTGGAATGAACCGCCAACTATTCCGTTTTTTTTTTTTTTTTTTTGCTGTAAATCTCTGTAAAACTGTTTGATGCGCTTGATACTGGGACATTTCAAAGTCAGCTGGAGAGAAACAGCAGACTGAGAGTGAACAGGAGGAGTTCACACACACATTTTCTCACACTTGCACGCTTGCATGCATTACACACACATTACGTAATGCCATTACACATATGAACTCACATACAAACATTTTCACACTCACACACACACATGCAGTGCACAAACACATTACTCATGCATACTTTACAAACACACACACACACACACTCACACACATGCATGCACACATGTGAGGTTACATACACACACAAAAACACACTTGGTTTTAAAAGAGGTGGCATTGTTTTGAAAATGTGTGTAAGCAGTTGGAAAAAAAACTCTATTATTTATTGATCAAATGCTTTCCTTGCAGTTTTTGTCTTGTTTTAGTCCAAATATCCAGAATTTCTTACACCTAGAAGCATTTTTTGGACAAGTAAAAAAATATTTAAAATTCAAAATAAAAAAGTCAAAATTATGTGGAAAAAGCCAAATCACTACACTACAAAACCTTCAATCATTCATTTTCCTTCGACTTAGTCTCAAATTTAGAGGTCGCCACAGTGGAATGAACCGCCAACTATTCCATTTTTTTTATTTTTTTGCTGTAAATCACTGTAAAACTGAGGCAAAGTTTAACAGTGTAACGTCTGCATGTTTTTTGACCTGCATTTCGGTCAAACGCAGTGATGCCGTGCACGTTATTACTGTGATTTGAGCCACAGGTCTGACATGTTCATTTCTGAGTGCCGTCGAGCCTTCAGCTGCTTGATCTCTCAGGATTATGTTGTTAGACTTTTCATTGCCCTCAATATCAGGGGGTCAGAGTTTGGCTGGTTAGCACGGTTCAGTCAACCCATTTCTGGTCTAGATTCTGTGTGCAGGAAGCATACACAGTCAATGAAACAGATCATGAAAAAAAAAGCATATTCGTTCGCTGCTTTTGATAGCGAAGAGGAGGGAAATGTGAAAAAAAAATGACAGTCTGAATGTTTGGCCATGAAGTGTGGATTTGATTCCAGCCGCTGTATGAGTCAGTGTTGCAAAGCTAAGAGGCTTAACCAGACTCACACCGTCCAAACATTCAGCAGAAATTAATAACGTCCCCTGATGATTTGACTGCTCGACGCTGAATATGCTTTTAATTAGGAGACTTCTGCTTTAAAATCTGCCGTCATTCATGAATATAACTATCATACAACAAAACAAAACAATAGTGTGATTAGAAACTAACATTGGTCATAATAACCTGGCGAAAAAAATGCCAAATTGTTGATTCATTCATTTATTTTTTTCGGCTTAGCGCCTTATTAATCAGGGGTCTCCACAGTGGAATGAACCGCCAATTTATCCAGCATATTTTTTTACTCCGCGGATGCCCTTCCAGCTGCAACCCATCACTAGGAAACACCCATACACACTCATTCACACACATACACTACAGACAAATTTAGCCTACCCAATTGACCTGTACCGCATGTGTTTGGACTTGTGGGGGAAACCGGAGCACCCAGAGGAAACCCACGCCAACACGGGGAGAACATGCAAACTCAACACAGAAATGCCAACTGACCCATCCGAGGCTTGAACCAGCAACCTTCTTGCTGTGAGGCGATCATGCTACCCACTGCGCCACCGTGATGCCCAAATACCTAATTATGTATTTGTGAACAGTTTCTGTATTTACTGTATGTATTAAGTTTTATTTGCGGTTGTGAATTGCATTCAGGGATGTTGATCTCTCCTCTGTTGACTTTTAAATGTAAAATTTAACTCTACAGTTAAACAAAGTGACTTTTACTGACTTTTATTTTAGCAGTTTGAAGTAATATAAGGTATAAGAAATAAATTATAGAGAAATAAGTCTGTACAATAGCAAAACTTTACTGGCAGGTTATTACAAGGCATTTGTAGTATAATATAGAACACAGGTGTCAAACTCAGTTCCAAAAGGGCCGCAGCTCTGCACAGTTTAGTTCCAACCCTGATTAAACACACCTGATCAAACTAATTGAGTCCTTCAGGCTTGTTTGAAACCTACAGTTAATGCCGAGTTCAGACTGCATGATTTTCAAAGTAGTCGTGTCACAGATGTTTTCACACTGCTTGACTATCTGGGCTTGCGTTTCGTCGCTGCTTTGTTTACACTGCAAGATGGTTCGGCGACAGGGACTTTCACATTGCAGGACTTTACTATAGGAAGAATCGCCGACAACTTCGTCCAAACTACGTCTCACAGCCAAAAACACGCAGTATATCTTTTGTTATTAACTACATAATGAGAAAGAAGCCTTTAATAGGGTAGAACATGTACATGTTTGCTCACCTGGGTTTAAAGGGAATTAGCCATTTCTCCTCAACATTGCTGATAAACTAATTTCTTTCTGTATGAAACGTCAAACAGACACGGTTCAATTCAATTCAATTCAGCTTTATTTGTATAGCGCTTTTACAATGTAGATTGTGTCAAAGCAGCTTCACATAAATGGTCATAGTAACTGGAACAGTGTGGTTCAGGTTTTAGTGTTTAAGTTCAGTTCAGTTCAGTTTAGCTCAGTTCAGTGTGATTTAATCATTACTGAGAGTTCAAACACTGAAGAGCAAATTCATCGATGCGTAGCTCTACCAATCCTGAACCATGCGAGGCAGTGGCGACAGCGGAGAGGGAAAAAAAAACTTCACCTGATGGGAGTGAAGAAAAAACCTTGAGAGAACCAGACACGGTTGCTCCTGAGTCCTGTCAAACCTCACTAGTTTTTCCTCCATTTCGTGGGTCCAAATAAACCGAAAAAGAGCGCTGTTAACTTCTCCCCCAGCCTCCCGCTGGCCTGCAGCAAGTTTTTAACCACGCACACACACAAGTGAAAGCTGCTCCCTCATTGGCTGTAGGTGATCGCTGATGTTATTTTCAGACAAAATTCAATTCACACGGCATGATTTAAATCACCGACAGCTCCAGATATTCAGCACACCAAATATCTTGCAGGCATCGTCGGCTCATCGGCGATTCTCTCAGATCGCGTCTTTGCAAGTTCATACTGTGTGATTGTCACTCACGTGCACGAGCACCGATTTGCCTGTGATTTCAGGCATTTGTCGGCGATTTCTCAAAACCTGTCGGCGAGCCAAAATCGGGTCTAAAATCACACAGTCTGAACTAGGCATAAGTGTGTTGGAGCAGGGTTGGAACTAAACTGCAGGGCTTCGGCGCTCCAGGAATTGAGTTTGACACCCCTGATATAGAACACCAACCCAGACTATATATATTGCTTTAAACCAGTGGTCAGTAAAACTTGTTCCTGGAGGGCCGATGTCCTGCAGATTTTAGCTCCAACCCTAATGAAACACACCTGAACAAGCTAATCAAGGTCTAACTAGGTGTACTTGAAACATCCAGACAGGTGTGTTGAGGCAAGTTGGAGCTAAACCCTGCAGGGACACCGGCCCTCGAGGATTGAGATTGGTGACCCCTGCTTTAAACTATTACAAATGTTCATAAAAGTAACATTTTTTACTTTTCAAAGTTAAAAGTTGTTGGAATAAAGATCAAGGTCTCAAAATGCAATACAAACGCATAAATAAAAGCAGAACATTTCTCATAATTTCTGGATAAATTTACAGTGTGTGATAAAGCTGCGAACCTACGGCTGAGCGCCGTAGGGGCTGAGTGCCATTTACTTTGACACTGATTTTCTCCTGTTTTTTCGTTTAGTTAAGGAGTAAGGTGTTACGACTACTGGGGTGGAGTGACAGGAGACAACAGGAGGTAAGATCCAATATGCAGGTTTATTCAATGTCAGGCAAGCAATGGTCAAATTAGGTGCAAACAGGTATATAAAGGCAGTCCAGAATCGTAAACGTTAAACAGGCAAAAAGGTCGAAAGGCAGGCGGCTAAACAGGATAACAAAGGTACAAGGCTAGGATCGAGACACGGAGAAACAAGACAGGGAAACACGTTGTAAAGTTACTAGGAAGCAAACAAGACTCGGCAACTGGAAGCGTGAATGAGTGGCTTATGAATGGAATGAAATCAGTCTGTGAACAAGGCTCAGCTGGTGATGCAATCAGGATAGATGAATGAACAGACGTGTGTGTTTGGGAGCAGTGCATGTATGAATGTGTAGTCCTGGGAAAAGCGGAAATGTAGTTTAGAGAGTTCGTGTGAAAACCAGCGATCCTCTGGGAAGCGATCGCTGGTTGTGTGACATAAGGGTAGTGTTTGTAATTTATTTTCTTCATTTATTTTTGATTCAGTAGGTAAGTTATCTTCGGGGTGGAGTTAGTAATGTTTTGTTTATTATTTTGGCCTTGCTCAGCCCTAAAGCTTTTTGTTTGCGCTCATTTATTTGTTTATTGTAAATACAAACCTTTTCCACCTTCTCACAATAAAAGAACCTTAAAGGTCATTTAAAAATCAAACCTGCTAACTGTTTATTTATTTTCTCTATAGTTTTTATGCTCGACTTCAGCCCTAGACATTTTTGAGGTCGTAACACTGGTCTCACGGTTCGGTTCGGTTGCGATTATCATTCCATCAATTCAGTTCAATCTGATATCTTGGTGCATCACGGTGCATTGACGATGCTTTCCATACACAGTTATATTTTACTTCACAGCAGAGCAATTTTTGTATTCGAATTAGGGCTGCTCGAGGAAAAAATCATAATCACGATTATTTTGGTCATAATTGTAATCCCGATTATTCAAAACGATTATCAGTTGAAGTCAAAATTATTAGCGCTCCTGAGAATTTAGTTTTTTAAAATAAATATTTCCCAAATCATGTTAAACAGAGCAAGGAATTTTAACAGTATTTCCTCTAATATTTTTTTTTCTTCTGGAGAAAGTCTTATTTGTTTTTTTTTAGCTAGAATAAAAGCAGGTTTAAATATTTCGAAACCCATTTTAAGGTCAATATTATTAGCCTCCTTAAGCAATATATTTTTTGATTGTCTGCAGAAGAAACGACTGTTATACAATGACTTGCCTAATTACTCTAATGAAGCCCTTGAATTGCACTTTAATTTGAAGGCTTGTATTTTGAAAAACATCTAGTAAAATGTTAGGTGCTGTCATCATAGCAAAGATAAAACCGAACAGTAATTAGACATGATATATCAAAACTATTATGTTCAGAAATAAGTTTAAAAAGATCTTCTTTCCATTAAACAGATATTGGAGGAAAAGGGTTATTGCTAATATTCTGGAGGGCTAATAATTCTGACTTCAACTGTATATATATATACATAGTTCAAGAGTTCACACTTAGCTGATGATTTACAAAGCTTATTTGGCATGCTGTCCCGGGAGAGAGCCCCGAGCTCAAGGGCTCCTCGAGCCCGGGGCTTCCTCCCGTTGGCAGAGCAAGAAGGGAGCCCGAGCTCGGTGGATCTCAGAACTCCCCTGCCGCTGTAGCTAAGGGAACGTAAGGAATTAGACAAGCTTGATTGTTAAGTATGTTGAATGTCTTTGGATGGTGGGAGGAAACCGGAGAACCCGGGGAAAACCCACGCGGACACGGGAAGGACATACAAACTCCCCACAGAAACACCCACCGGTCCTATAGGACTAGGACCGGCAGTATTCTTGCTGTGTGGTTCACAGTACTAACCACTGGACCGCCGTGCCGCCCAATCGCAGGTAAAGGAGGAGAATAGGGGAGGAGGGGGGTTTCTTCCAAACGAAGATAAAGTGAACTGAAAACTGAGGCTATTTATGGTGCCTTAGGGCTCATATGATTGGAAGATTAGTGATTAGCAAATACGAGACTGGACGTGATAAATCATAAGCACGTGATCCTCTCGAAATTAGTTTATGAATAAACTTCACTTATTTTCCACCCTGCAAAGGAAAGAGAAATAAATACAAAAGAATAAAAACATAAAACAAACTGTGATTTAAGCATCTTCACCCCATGAAAACACTTTAGCTACAAAAATCCTTCAGTCAGGAGCAGTAAGGGATGTTCTCGTCGTTTGATTAATGATAAAACAGGCGGCAGCATTTCGCACTGTCACTTTAATGGTTTCTCTTTCACGTGTCTTTTAAATCTCAACTCGTTTGTTTATTACGCAAATGAGGGTTAATATGAATAATCACTAAACACCGCGTTTTGACACCTATTTGACCATTAAAGCGCTCATGTTAAGATTACTTTAGATGTCTGTGCTCCTCTGCTCATCTCAGTGTGCTAATGAGACCGAATGCTGACCGCGTGCGCGTGTTGCACACTCACATAAGCACACGGTCTTTTGCGCTTTTGGTATATGATGCAATAATCGTTTATCTCGATTAATAGTTTTTCATAATCGTTAGAAGCCATAATCGAAATCGAAATCGGATTTTAGATTAATCGCACAGCCCTAATTCAAATGTATAAATATATTTAGATACTATTTGTAATATAATGTTGTCCTTTAATACAAACAGTCAGATATATAAACTGTACCTTTAAACAAAACAAGCATTTATAGCAAATATACAAATATAAATATCCCGCTCGCTTTCTGAGTCTTGTCTACCAAGTTCTTACACCCCTTTGATTGGTCATGCGCTCACCTGAAAGGCCTGCGATTGGCTCTTGCGCGCTGCGCTCTTCACAGACGAGTGACACTGTTAAACAGCAGTTTGACGGCAGTTTTTAATATCGTTGAATGATAATAATAAAAATAATATTAATAATTATTATTATTAATGGGCATCACGATGGTGCAGTGGGTTGCACGATCCCCTCATAGCAAGAAGGTCCCTGGTTCGAGTCCCAGCTGGGTCAGTTGGCATTTCTAAGCTTGCATGTTCTCCCCGTGTTGGCGTGGGTTTCTTCTGGGTGCTCTGGTTTCCCACAAGTCCAAACACATGCACTATAGGTGCATTGGGTAAGCTAAATTGGCTGTAGTGTATGTGTGTGAATTAGTGTGTGTGGGTGTTTCCCAGTGATGGGTTGCAGCTAGAAGGGCATCCGCTGCAAAAAACATATGCTGGATAAGTTGGAGGTTCATTCCGCTGTGGTAACACCAGATTAATTAAGGCACTAAGCTGAAAAGAAAATGAAGAAATGAATGATAATTATAATTATCATTATTAATAAAAATGTCTAATCATTTACTTCAAAATCGTAATATAAAGTAAAAGAGTTCAACTTCTTAACAGATAAATAAAATATGAGTGATCTGAGAAAAGAACTGTGTGTTAGACTGCGCTGGTTTAAAGATGCATCGTCCACCCAATTCATTTTCAAGTGAAATATTGTTGTTTTGGGTCGCAGAAGAATTAAAAAATGACGCCATGCAAGCCAATTAATCAACTAACCAAGAAATCTGATTTATTTCACTAAATTAATCTGCGCCGTACATTATCATTCTTCTTCGAGACGGATGAGGCTGTTTCTGGGGGAGCTGTAGTTTTTCAGTATTTGCCTTTCTGTCAATAGCAGAATCAATTGATGTAAATATGAGCATTAGATCCAGTAGCTGCTCGATCTGATGAGAAAGAATGATTCATACAGCAAACGCAGAGAGAAACATTGGCAGATGCAATAAAGGATGCATTGCGGTGCTAAATCACTGCTGACTATACTGCTATACACACTCAGAAATAAAGGTACAAGTGCTGTCACTGGGTCAGTTCCTTTTTAAAGGATACATACTGTTTTTGTACTCAATACACTTTTAGTTGGTCAGCTCTTAGATGACTGTGGTCTCCCTTTTTCATACACAAAAAAAAATAAAAATTATATGAATCAGCTTTCTTTTCCTGTTCCCCCCAAAGAATATGCCATAGGTTTTGTTGCAATCTCTGATTGTGTTATACCTTAATGCACAGGTGTCAAACTCAGTTTCAAAAGGGCCGCAGCTCTGCACAGTTTAGTTCCAACCCTAATTAAACACACCTGATCAAACTTATTGAGTCCTTCAGGCTTGTTTGAAACCTACAGGTAAGTGTGTTGGAGCAAGGTTGGAACTAAACTGTGCAGGGCTTCGACCCTCTAGGAATTGAGTTTGACACCCCTGCCTTAATGGCTCATTTCCACTGACTGGTGCAGTACGGTGCGGTTTGGGTCAGTACAGGCCACCTTTATCAGGCTTGCGTTTCCACTTCCTAGGGTACCCTTTTGGTGGCCGTGGTGTATGACAAAGTTTCAGGCCCCGTTTACACTAGTGCGTTTTAGGTTTAAAACGGCGTTGTAGAATGAAAACGATCCGCGTCCACACTCGCGTTTTACCCAGCGTTTCTGAACTGCTCTCCGTCCACACCAAAACGCTGAAAACGCACATCACGTGACCACGCAGACACTCTCGGGCAAGCGATCCAGCATTTCTACCCAGATGAGAGCTCTGCTTGTCGGACTGCTCATCACGCATCTCCCGCTGGATCTAATCTCACTATATTTGCTAAACGTGATATTTCATTCATGTTGTTGTCTTTATCTAACGACATAGGCCAATTCCCTGACTTTGGTCATTGGAATCTATTAAGTTACTTGTTCGCGGGTAACATGTTTTGGTTAAGCGCAAAGATAAGTTAATGATTAATCCAGGTACATTAACTGATCGCTCGTCTTTATTTCCTACAATGTATAAACTTATTGTATGTTATACTTTTATAATTATCGATTATTAAAACTGATATTCAGCAGAAGAGAGGGTGCGTTTCGTATTTTCACTGAAATTGAAAGGAGGCAGTTGTTATCGGCTCCGTTTTGTTATAAATATCCACACAGTGAAGATGACGCTCATATATGCAGTACGACGCCTCAACATTTCTGC